TAAGTCACTAAGTAGCCCATGAAGGACTCAAACTTGCAATCTTCCTGCCTCAGCTTCCCACAAAGCTGAGATTACAGGCATGGGCCACCATGACCCGCTCTGCAAATCTACTTTTTTAAAAAGTCACATCAGTTCATACTCTTTAGCAATCAGAATACATATTACATGTCTCAGTTTTGTCAATATTTACATCATTGCAAAAACATAAAATATCTGATCATCTTATATTTATAAAATGATTTACTTTTAAAAAAGAAAGTTACTCTACATTTCCTTCACATAATTTTGGGTCCAATTCATTAAATCATGACAAAATATACCATATACACAATCCCCTGTGTATTGCCAAATGTCCAGCAGAAGACAACAGTGTAATAGGGAAAATAGGCTTCTTTCCAGCAGGAGGCTCCTGGGCTGCTGGTGATGAGATAATGTAGAACAGGGGCAGAATATAAACCATGCTAAATGGCTCAATTAGAAACCAATATCATGTATATTTCTCAACAGCACTTGGAAAGGGCAAAAGATATTGTCCATGACCTGAAACAGATAAACTCTCAGCACTTTCTTCTTTTCTAATCTTTGCACTTTTGGGGCAAGTTACTAATGAAGTTCAGATAAAGGCATAAAGGAGCCCCTCCTCCCAGGGCTCTGTGTTCTTCTGTTCTGTTGAGGGCCCTTTGTACTCTGGACATTTGCTCCAGTTCTGAAGCCCAGTGCTCCCTCCTCCCAGCCGCAGCAGAGATGGGGAGATTTTGGATCAGGCCTTGCCCCTGGGGTGCTGACCTGCCTATGCTATCCCAGATGATTCAGCTTGAAATGAACGGCCCTTCCCACTGCTGGGATCAATCCCATTCAGTCATAATGCTTGTGCTCTGCTAACTTGTTAAGAATGCGTCTCACTCCCTTACTAGAAGGGAAAGGCAGGGAGGGAAAACCTAGACAAAGGACTTGCCGTTAAACTGTCAGAGTACAAACTGGATTCCCTGATTAAGTGTTTGCTGTGCTTTCTGAATGGGAGGGTTGGTGTGGGTAGGGAAACAGCACTGGTGTGGCGGAACCATGGCCATGAATGTGCAGGGTGACGTGGAGCCAACCCAGACAGCCACATGAGCTATGTTGGTGATGTTGCTGTGGGACACACTGGGGAGCTGGCCTTTCTATACTGATGTGTGCAAAACCTTTTAAAAAACCAAAAGAATCATAGCAGTTCATTTTCTGTAGGAACAAACCACATCAGTCTTTCCTTGTGTATTGCCTAACGTCCATGCAACAGAAGGCAGCAGTGTGATAGGGAAAATGGGCATTCCCCCTGAGAAGTTATAACAAAATGTCTGAGGTTGGGAACTTTATGAAGAAGACAGGATTATTTACTTCACAGCTCTGGAGATTCAAAAGCATGGTGCTGGCTTTTCGTTGCCTATGTGAGGACTTCATAGGATTTCAGTGGTGAGAGCATGTTCAGAAAAGAGCAGATGATGATACAGACAGCTTGAGACCTGGAAAGGGCCAGGCTCAATTCATTTTATAATAACCACTCTTACTATAAATAGCCTGGCCTTGTGAGAACTACACAGATCTCTCCTGAGGATGGTGTTTCCAATTACCTAATTACATCACAATGGGCCACATCAATATTTTCCAACACCTTGCAATGAAGCCATGCCGCACAGGCTTTCAGCATACAGACCTCTGGGGAGCACATTTAAATCATATTCAAACCAAATCATAGTAAGGATGAAGTGATGGAAGATTAGGTTATCTATCCATTCAGCTGTCTATACGTCTGTCTACCATTTACTATCTGTCAATCATTTATCTATCACTGTCCTTTTATAAAATGGTACTTGAAACTCTATGTACTCCATGGAATTTTGTTATATAAGTAAGAGTTGCAATTTATTCAGTGAATCCTTTAGGTGATTTTAATTTGTATTTCTATTAGTATATATAATAGAGCCCTTATTAAAATAATTGGCACATCTGACAATTTATATTCTTTCATTATTTATATGATCCATAGTAAATTTATTTACACCAATCTTGTCTCCTACATTTGATATTATGGTCTTAGTGACTGATACAAATATTTATGTTTTAAATTGTGTGTGAGGAACATATTAAAGCATATGTGCATATACACAGACATATATAAAATATAAACATTATGCCTTGATTGCTTTATACAAACTGACTTCAATTATATAATTTGCCCCCTGGTCAAAAAACTATTATCAGCATCCCAGAAAATGTTCTGAGATCAATATCATGTCCAGCCCACTGTCCCCTCCCTGCCTATCTACCCACAATGGTAACTACTAATCTGGGTCTTGGGAGGATGTGTTAATTTTCCCATTTTTTTGTTTTATATTAATTTAAACACAAGCTCTTGACCCGACTTTCTTCTATAAACACCATGTTTCTGAGATTCCCCTCGATGTTGTACATGGTTGTGGTTTGTTCCTAAAAGCTCAGTGTGCAAGCCACTCACCACAGAAACAAGCCATAATTTGTCCATTGCACAGCAGTGAGCCTTTGGATACCATATGTATCTGCTCAAATGAACATAGCAAGTTACTACAGAAGGCATGGCTAAAGCAATATAAATTCATTTTAGCATAGTGCTAGCAACTAGCGAGTCCATACCAAGTGCCAGCTGATTTGATTCCTGGTGAGGACTCCTTTTGTGGTTTCCTGGACTTTTACTTGTTGGCCCCTCGCATGGCCTTTTGTGTGTGTGTTTGTGTGTGTGTGTGTATTTACAGGTGTGTGTGTAAAGAGGGGAGGAGTTTTCTGATATCTATTGTTCTTTTAAGGACATTTTCCCGGTACTGGGAGTCAAACTCA